TCATCTATTGTGAGAAATCTCGCTGTCAGATGGACTGGTCGGCTCTCTACTCATGGCGGACACTGTATTCTGTCTAGTATTTTTGTGGTTGTACTCTTAGGAGGCGGTCTCATCCCTTCAGTCGCCATGACGATAGGAGTACATTCCCGGTGCTTTAACGTAACAATCTTGTTAAGAATCTCGCACTTCATTTATGGCATCGAATGCGCGGACATCGGACTCTCTGTTGGCCCCTATTTTTCCAGAGTTTCCGTGCTGTTCGGCCTTCTCGAAATTCTATGCTTCAGAACATTTCATGTCCAATTTATTACTCGATGATTGCTTACGGGCCTCACACACACGAGCGAGGTTGTTCAGTCGAAAGTTCATTTGATGCTGTCCGCTTCCAAAGGAATTGTCCAGATATCCCTCTGTCCTGGGCTACATGAATTAACCGCGGGACCCGCTGGGCCTCCGCTGGGCCTCCGCTGGGGTCCGCTGGGCCAGGTCACCGCCTCCGCATATGAAACTGGGCCCACCGCGGATCGAACTGGGCCCACCGCATGTCCAGCTGGGACCTCCGCCTACGTCCGCATGTTGGTTTGGACCTCCGCAGGACATGTCCCACAGTGCCGCCGGGTCTATGGGACCTCCGCCGTCCTCCACAGCGTCCACTGTTGCATTATATTAAGTATGCTACTACCTTTCTCGCAGATTCGACCATATGGGTATTCATGTCAGTATTACACATCCTAACGGTCGTTCAAGTCGACAACAATCCAATGACCTACTTACACAGTTGACTTAGAATGAAAATATCTCATGACACAATCATTGGATTTCAGAACGGTCAGTTACAAGTGACATGTATGTATAAGACCTACCGCCTCATAGAATAAAATAGTGTGCTTAAATTTTACGCCTTGTCCTCATCGTCGTCGACGATGACGGCGAGTGATGGATGTGGCTGTGCCCAGCATCAACACGCACGAGACCCGACGAGAGTAAGTATTGTTTTGGTGAAACGATACTATCACTATGACTACAAGCGCTCCGGCGCCGCGTGGTGATGGCAGTCACAAGTGGGGCTGGTCGACCGCGGCGCGATATCCGCAAGACATCCGCTGGGCCACTGCTGGGCCTCCACACACCACCGCCAGACCACCGCACACCACCGCTGGGCCACCGCCAGATATCCGCCAGACATCCGCTGGGCCTCCGCAGACCTCCGCCAGACCTCCGCTGGGTGCGGCGCCGCTTCAAGTGGGCCTCCGCCGGATTCGAACCTGACACATCGTTGATGTCGGGAACGACGACATCCGCTACCTGTCCCCTACGACGCACGGGCACAACTTACATGTAACTACCTACTGACATACATCCAGTAGCCGGACTCGTTGTCGTCGTTGAGAGCGGCGGTCTGTCAAAAAGTGGGGTCCGCTGGGCCTCCGCTGGGTTGGCCCAGCGGACGTCCCGCGGTTAATTCCGGATGCCCCTCTGTCCTGCTCTCAATTCCATCTTCTTCGTTCACAAGTTGGCCGTACGAGAGCCCTGGCAAAACTTTCAGCAGAGAGATTCGATCGGCAGGTGGCCGATAACCGGGGGACGAATACTCACTCGTGGGGAGAACGGTGTTTCAGTACGTGCTATTTTTGTCACTCGGATGTTCAACCGAGAAATCGGAGGACTTCCCTGGCGCAAGCGCCGATATGCAAAAAATCACGGCATGTCGTCGCAGCTTCCGAGCGACATTCAACCGTCGGACTCGGCGCACTGTTCTCACGTAATCAAGCACTGGCCTTGCACACGGGTAATATCTCTCGGATCGGCTCCCGAAGACTGAGCTGAATTCTACTACGGAATAATGTTGGCCAAAAGCTTATTTGTCGGGCCAGAGCTCACTTTCCCTGCCAAAATCGAAGAAGAACCTGGTCAAGTCCATGGCGACAGAAGAGTTTCGACCAAAGTGGCCAGGTAAAATTCATCCGACTCTTGATATCATGCAATCCTCACTGTGATAAACACCCATCATCATGCGACGTGACGGAATGCTTTTGCACAGTCTATGTGCTGCACCGGTGCATAGTGGCAAGGAAACCTACATATTGTCCCACGCCTCGGAGCAGGGTATATAAGCACAGCTCAACAGGTCGTGAGCACCACCAAGGTATTGAGTGAATCGCTTCTCTGCCCGCTTCTACAATGATTCCACCGATACTCTCAACCATTCTCCTCTTCGCTCTCGGCGCCCACGGTGCTCCATCAGTAAAGCTTGGGAAAACGACTGTGGTCGGAACTACCCTGCCGACTTTTGGACAGGAGCTTTTCGCAGGTGCGCTGTGTAGTCACGCCTGTCTTCACTCCGACTCAAGACGAAGATAGGCATCCCGTATGCTGAGCCGCCCATCGGAGAGCTTCGGTTCAAACCTACGGTTCTGACGACATCGTTGAATGGCTCCTCGTTCAATGCTACTCAATTCGGGCCGGCATGTCTCCAACCGCTGTTGGGAGGCACCGCACATGTAAGTGCACACCATTTGGTCTTCAATTTTTGTTGATATTCCGCCTCCAGAGTGTTCCCGCCGACACCACAATCTCGGAGGACTGTTTAACCATCAACATTGTTCGTCCTATAGGTATCAACTCGACCTCAAAACTCCCCGTGGTAGGTGCCTTGGCTGCGGATGCATCATGTTCTTCCGCATTGAACTAAGATGGTTCTGCAGATGTTCTGGACGTGAGCATGGCTCTGATCGCATGATCATCACGGTGCAAACAACTCACTTTTCTACAGTTACGGTGGTGGCTTCTTCGTGGGGTCATCTGAGGTTTATAATGCCAGCGCTCTCGTCGCCCATAGTGTGGCCAGAGTGATATTGTTCCATACGAAACACCGAAATATTCTAATGCCTGTCAACAGGGGACTCCCGTCATTCTTGTCAATTTCAACTACCGGCTTGGTCCTCTGGGGTGGCCGCAAGGGTCAGAAGCTTCCAATGAAGGGTCTTTGAACCTTGGGCTCAGAGACCAGGTGGCTGCTCTCGAATGGGTCCAAAAGAACATCGGCAAGTTTGGCGGTGACAAGCGCAAAGTCCTCGCGTTCGGAGAGAGCGCGGGAAGCATGATGACTTCGATGCTGTTCTTGAGCCCACAAATGGACAAACTGTTTCGGGCTGCGGTACAGAATCATTCTCTCCGCCATATCTCAAAGAGGACTCAGATGAATCATAGATACTCGAATCCGGATCTCAATCGTCAGCTGGGGGAACGTTCCAACCTGCTCACCGAGAGAATACATGGAGCCTCTTTGTTGGGGCCGTTCCTTCTTGCGCCTCTCTCGCCGGCACCAATTCGACTTTCTCCTGTCTTCGAAACGCCACCACAGACGAAATGTTCAATGCTTTTCTGACAACTGTGTCTGGTGCGATCGAGAACTTTCCCTTAGACTGGGACCCGGTGATTGACGGTCCGGGTGGGCTGATACCGGAACTTCCTTCGAGACTTCTCCTGAAAGAGAAATTTGCCAAGATTCCTTTTATCGCCGGGACAAACTTGGATGAAGGTAGGGGAAACGATGATATCCGACTCTGCCAGGGTCGCTCATCCGACTCTAGGGACGTTTTTCACGCCGACACTGATGAATTCTTCCGCCGAAATTAACGCTACCATGATCGCCGGGCGCTCTCCTGGCCCTTCCCCTGCAGAACTTCAAGCTTCGATCTGCAGAATTCTCGAACTCTATCCAGACGATCCTTCGCTCGGTCTGTTCTATTCATTTCTCACTTTGCAGAACTCGAATCTGACTATTCATCTTGAGGGTCGCCGTTCGGAACTGGAAACGAGACCTTTGGTTTGAGTAGTCAGTACAAGCGCTACGCAGCGATCGGTATGTCGGAATGCTGTCTAGACCTGGGTGTGATTTCCTACTGATTATCGCAGAGGGAGATGTGGATTTCCACTCTCAGCGGCGGTTTTGGATCAACGCAGCAGCCAACGCGAGTGTACCCACCTTTGGCTACCTGTTCACGCAGCCCCAGCCGCAACTCGCCCCTCAACTCGGCGGTGAGTGTTACAGTTATCTTGTAATCAACGCAACCCTAAACACGAGGGCTTCAGGCTAGTCGAACATGGATCTGAGATCGATTACATCTTGGGGGGGCTGAATGATACTTCAGCCTCGTCCGTGTTGCTCAGTCAAATCATGATGGACTATTGGATTTCTTTCGCCACGAGTCTGACACCGAACGATGGGATCGGCTCCGAGCGTCCGGAATGGAAACAATTCACCCCCGCATCAAAGGTAGACCATTGAACCACTACCGCACCTTGATCAGATGGATTGAATTCACGAAGTCTATCCTTCAACTCAACGGTAACAATTTAACCATGATTCCGGACACTTATCGCAAGGGAAAGTACTCGCCTTCCTTCGATACCTGATGATGCTTAGTCTCCTTTGCAGAGCAAATCGCCTGTATCAATTCGAACCCCCAGATTTGGCATCATTAGGTTATTTTCTCCTTTGCCTTCGTAAATCTTATAGAGCTGGGAAGTACTGCATACCACATAAAAGTTCTCTCAGAGCAGATTGAAAGTTTTTGCTCTTCATAGTCATGTTGAATACATGGATGTTCTCAGTTGACATCTTCGTTCAATAATACACCTCATTTCTGCTGGTCCTTCAATTAATTTTCACAAGCCCCGTGGACTTGAAGCTGCGGCAGCCTCTCCGAACCATCAAAAATTCTCGATTAATCATCCTCGGCGAATGGCCGAAGCTTTCAAAAAAGGCAGGCCTTTGTGTCGGCCCATCATCCTGTTTGTCTGGCATTTTACGCGATTATCTCCCTTGGACCACGAAGTTGGTATGGCAACGCGAAGCGAGTCGATCACCGTTGGCTTGACGTCACAGCCTGCTCAAGCATGGGCCTACAGAATTCGCCGCGGGACCCCCGCAGGTCTGGCCCAGCGGGACCTCTGAAAAATCGAAGTCCCGCTCTCGACAATGGCAGAACTTTTCAATGTTCTGTCAACCTTAGCATAGAGTCTGATACAGTAACAAGATATCCCAATTAGTTGCATCACTCGTAGTGTTGACATTGTTGAGGACAACGAGGTCGAAGAATTGGGTCCCGCGGGACTCTACTTAAAGCGGGACTAAACCCAGCGGGACTCCAGCGGGAATGGAAAATGACCCCGCGGGACTCCAGCGGGAGTGCTTAACCGGTGTGCGGGGGCTACATGAATTAACCGCGGGACCCGCTGGGCCTCCGCTGGGCCTCCGCTGGGGTCCGCTGGGCCAGGTCACCGCCTCCGCATATGAAACTGGGCCCACCGCGGATCGAACTGGGCCCACCGCATGTCCAGCTGGGACCTCCGCCTACGTCCGCATGTTGGTTTGGACCTCCGCAGGACATGTCCCACAGTGCCGCCGGGTCTATGGGACCTCCGCCGTCCTCCACAGCGTCCACTGTTGCATTATATTAAGTATGCTACTACCTTTCTCGCAGATTCGACCATATGGGTATTCATGTCAGTATTACACATCCTAACGGTCGTTCAAGTCGACAACAATCCAATGACCTACTTACACAGTTGACTTAGAATGAAAATATCTCATGACACAATCATTGGATTTCAGAACGGTCAGTTACAAGTGACATGTATGTATAAGACCTACCGCCTCATAGAATAAAATAGTGTGCTTAAATTTTACGCCTTGTCCTCATCGTCGTCGACGATGACGGCGAGTGATGGATGTGGCTGTGCCCAGCATCAACACGCACGAGACCCGACGAGAGTAAGTATTGTTTTGGTGAAACGATACTATCACTATGACTACAAGCGCTCCGGCGCCGCGTGGTGATGGCAGTCACAAGTGGGGCTGGTCGACCGCGGCGCGATATCCGCAAGACATCCGCTGGGCCACTGCTGGGCCTCCGCACACCACCGCCAGACCACCGCACACCACCGCTGGGCCACCGCCAGATATCCGCCAGACATCCGCTGGGCCTCCGCAGACCTCCGCCAGACCTCCGCTGGGTGCGGCGCCGCTTCAAGTGGGCCTCCGCCGGATTCGAACCTGACACATCGTTGATGTCGGGAACGACGACATCCGCTACCTGTCCCCTACGACGCACGGGCACAACTTACATGTAACTACCTACTGACATACATCCAGTAGCCGTACTCGTTGTCGTCGTCGAGAGCGGCGGTCTGTCAAAAAGTGGGGTCCGCTGGGCCTCCGCTGGGTTGGCCCAGCGGACGTCCCGCGGTTAATTCCGGATGCCCGGTGTGCGGGACTCCAGCGGAGGTCGAGCAGGTCCCGCGGGACTCCAGCGATAGTCCCACTTGACCCTGCGGGACTCCAGCAGTCGTCTCAAATGCCCCGCGGGACTTGAGCGGAGGTCCAGCGGGCGTGCACACCGCGGAATCCTCTGCTCACCGACACAATCCGGCAGTGATGCTCTATAACATCACCGCTGCACACCGCCGTCCCCATCGTCGTCTTACATCAACGTTACAGCCACCTCATCATCGTCCGCACAGCACATCGACTGCACAGCCGCCTCATCATCATCGTGCTCGTCGCATCGCACATCAAACTTCACAGCCACATCATGATCCTGCTCATCGTTCGCAACGACGACAACGAATATATTGAAAAATAAGAGTTCTATGTTATTGGTTAGCCTGAAAGCTAGGGACTAGTAAAACTCGTCTTTGAATGATTAAAGTATTGGAGACCGCTCCTTGAATGGGAAAATTCATTCTAAGTAAACCTCAACCTGTGTGCATTCACAACAGCGGGGCAACCGGAAATTACCGCGGGACGCCGCTGGGCCAACCCAGCGGAGGCCCAGCGGACCTCACTTTTTTCTTTCACAGACCGCCGCCCTCAACGACGATGACGAGTACGGTATGGTGCATACATCAATAGGTAGTTACAGTAAGTGGACAAAATGATTGACTGATCAGTTTTTTGATTGTCCTGGCTCACAGAGCTGATATTGCCCAAGGGTCAATTGGAATGAAATGCACCTTAAGAGTATTAGTTTCCATGTGTAGAATATCTAGAACTCCAGATTACAGTGTAGTAAATGAAACTCTTGTCCATGTTCAAATGTGCCCACCCCTGCCTGGAATACTTCTTGCTTGATGGCAGTGGGTGCTGACCTTTCACTATATGTTTGAGAGGGTCCTACATGTGCTAGATGACATTGAAGTCAGGACTCAAGGCTGGCCACAGAAGCAAAATGTTGTCTTTATTGTAAAACCAGTCATTGATAATTGGTAGTATATCTCTACAAATAATTTTGCAACAACTTCAGGGGCTCAGTGGACTATTCTACAGGCCCAAGGCTACATTTTGTTCTTAGAGACCCTAGGATGATATGAGCTCTAAGAGCCTGGAAAGCCCATTTTTAATCAAAGAGAACTGATCAGTCAATCATTTTGTCCACTTACTGTACATCTAACTTTAGATGATCTAAGTTGTTCACCCAGTGGACCCAGCGGGTCGCGCAGTTAATTTTCATATAGCCTGTTTCACTATGGTAAAAAGTTGGTGGTAGTCTATGTGCAACAACAAAATTGTATTCAACGATGTCTAGCAGTGGTCCCAGATCGAGCGGCGGGAGTCCCAGCGGGACATGCGGTGGTCCCGCGGTGGTGCAAGTTTTGCCCTGCGGGACTCCAGCGGGTCCCAGCGGGTCCCGCGGCTAATTCATGTAGCCCCTCAAGCATCACGTTCTTTCGTCTGTGGTATTGAGGGTGCGGTCATCGGTCTCTATGTTGGCTTCCGTTCTCCCCCAATTCTTAAGCTCTTTGACCTTCTCCGGTTGCTGCGCTTCAGCAGTTTTTGTACTCGCATCGAATCCCCGATCGGGAGTGGCGGAGCATGTGCTATTTGTACCCGGAACTGGAAAGCGAGATCTCGTGAGCCCTTGAGTCCGTGCCCGTCTCACAAAAGAAGACGCGGGCAATGGGGCTCATTAAAATTCCACGTGAACCTGTCCGTCTGCAAATGGATTGTCCACTTGACTGGTTGTTCTGCTTTAGATTCCGTATGTGATCTTCCCAGGCATGGGTCGCGCACGGGTCGGGTCACACGAGTGCCCTGGCAAAACGTTCAGCAGGGAGGTTCTATTGACAGGCAGCCGATAACCGCACGCTCGATCGTGGGGAGCTCGCGGGGAAGAATCAGGTAGACTGATCCAATAGCGCACGTCTTGTCACCTGGGTCCTAAACCAAAACTATGCCATCTGAGTGAGCTGGCGCTATCCTAACTTTGTAATCACGGCACACATTGAAGCAGCTCCCAAGTTCACGTGCATTATGACATGCAAGCGTCGGACTGACGCCCGCCTGCTAACTTCTCGTATCCAAGCACAAGTCGCTCACATGTGTCACGACGCGCGGGTCGGCCCCCGACTACTGAGATGTATTCCACTCAGGAGCATAGTTGACCTATAGCTCATTTCATTTGCAGAAAATTGTGGGGGAGCTGGCCGAGGTTTCGGCGGCGCAGGAATCACGAGGAAAGCGGCCGGTTAGATGCATTCGGTCTAGGATACTACTTAGGTGATCCTCGCCCTGTCATACCCCATCATGCGACGTCAAGTCACGAAATTCTTGAACGCAGTGCTATTCTGAACGCAGTGCCGATTCGTGGTGGCAACGGGACCTCAGCATTGTCCCACGCCTTGGAGCAAAGTATATAAGCATAACGCAACATACCGTGCAGCCCCACCAAGGAAGTCAGCGCACCGCTGCTCTTCCCGCTGCTACTATGATTCCGTCTATTCTCTCAACTCTACTTGTCCTCGCGCTCGGCGCCTCTGGTGCTCCGTCAGTCAAGCTCGGAAAAACGACGGTCATCGGAACGACCCTGCCGACTTTTGGACAAGAGCTCTTCGCAGGTGCGCGACGCGATCACGCCTGGTTTAACTGTGACTCAAGATGATGATGATAGGTATCCCGTATGCCAAGCCGCCCATCGGAGAGCTTCGGTTCAAGCCTACGGTTCTGACGACGTCGTTGAACGGCTCCTCGTTCAATGCTACTCAATTCGGGCCGGCATGCCTCCAACCGCTGGCAGGCGGCACTGCGCATGTAAGCGCACACCAGTCGGTGCTGAACTTCTGTTGATATTCCGCCTCCAGAGCCTTCCAGTCGGCAGCCCAATTTCGGAGGATTGTTTGACGATCAACATCATTCGTCCTATCGGTGTCAATTCAACCTCAAAACTCCCTGTGGTATGTACCCTCGCTAGGGATGCGCGGTGCTCTTTGACATTGAACTGATGTCGGTCCTGCAGATGTTCTGGACGTAAGTGGCACTTCTATGACATCATGAGAGCGCTGCCAACACTCCCTTCGCAGATATGGCGGTGGTTTCTTCGTGGGCGCCTCCGAGGTTTACAACGCCAGCGCTCTCGTTGCCCAAAGCGTGGAAAGAGTAATGACATCTCATTCCAATACTTTACCGCACTAATGCGTGTCGCAGGGGACCCCAGTCATCCTTGTCAACTTCAACTACCGACTCGGGCCTCTCGGGTTCCCTCAAGGGACTGAAGCTCTGAACGAAGGGTCTCTGAACCTTGCGCTCAGAGATCAGCTTGCTGCCCTCGAATGGGTGCAGAAGAACATCGGCAAGTTCGGGGGTGACAAGCGCAAAGTCCTCGCGTTTGGTCAGAGTGCTGGAAGCATGATCACATCGCTGCAATTCTTGAATCCCCGCATGGACAAGCTTGTTCGGGCAGCGGTATAAAATTCTCTTCTATGCCAAGTCTCTAAGGAATACTCAAATGGGTCACAGATATTCGAGTCCGGAGCGCAGTCGTCAGGCGGAGGGATGTTCGAACCCGCTCGGAGAGACAATGTCTGGAGCCTCTTCGTTGGCGCAGTCCCTTCTTGCGCCTCTCTGGCAGGAACCAATTCGACGTTTTCGTGTCTCCGGAACGCCAACACAACGGAAATGCTGAATGCCTTCCTCTACACTTTGTCGCACGCGAGCGAGAACTTCCCCTGGGACCCGGCAATCGATGGTCCCGGTGGTCTGATCCCCGAGCTTCCTTCGAATCTTTTGCTGAAAGGGAAATTTGCGAAGATTCCTTTCATTGCTGGGTCAAACTTGGACGAGGGTGGGTTGGAATTCCAAGATCTGATCGGCCACGTTCGCTCATTCGAACTTAGGGACGTTATTCACTTCAACGACGATGAACTCCTCCGCCGAGATCAACGCTACTATAACCGCCGGGCGCTCTCCTGCGGCTTCTCCTGCAGAGCTTCAAGCTACGATTGCGAGAATGCTCGAACTCTATCCGGATGATCCTTCGCTCCGTGGGTTCCTTTCGTTTTGACTGTCCTGCGCACCAATCTCCTTTTTAAACTTCAGAATCGCCGTTTGGAACTGGGAACGAGACCTTCGGCTTGAGCAGCCAGTACAAGCGCTATGCATCGATCGGTATGTCGGACCGCTGAGTGAATCTCTCAATAGTTCCGTGCTGATTTCCTGCAGATGGGGATGTAGACTTCCACTCTCAGCGGCGGTTCTGGATCAATGCCGCAGCCAATGCGAGTGTACCCACCTACGGCTACCTCTTCACTCAGCCGCAGCCGCAACTTACTCCACGACTCGGTGGTAAGTGTTGAAATTCTCTAAAGTGGAAGTCAGCGCTCAAATCAGACCCTGCTACTCAGTCGATCACGGAGCTGAGGTCAACTACGTCTTGGGCGGACTGAACGATACAACGCCCTCAGCGGTGCAGCTCAGCCGTGTTATGATGGACTACTGGATTTCCTTTGCCACGAGTCTGACACCGAACGATGGGATTGGCTCCCAGCGTCCTGAATGGACACAATTCACCCCCGCAGCGAAGGTAAACCATTGAGTCATTGACATATCTTGAAGCTCATGATTTCGATTGCGACAGAATCTCATCCAACTCAACGGGAGCAACCTGACCATGATCCCCGATACTTATCGCGAGGGTAAGTGCTTGTCTCACTTGAACTCATCGGGATGTTCAATCTCTGCAGAGCAAATCGGTTTCATCAACTCGAACCCGGCAATTTGGCATCATTAAGATTATTTCTTTTCCGTCTTCGTAATTTAAGTAAACTTCAGAGGCACGGTGTATCACCTACCCCCTCCATATCAGGTTTCAAAAATTTATGTTTTGCT